AGCAGGCCAGTTTTTTTTAAGAACTGCCGAAAATTAACTTAATAGGACAAACTTTTAGCGAATTTAATACGTTTATTTCTTATAAGTAGTTAAGTACCTTTGGTATCTTTGCGTTTGCAGCCGATCTGTGATTGATTAAGCATTGTGCAATAAAGCTAAGGACATTTACCTTAACTGTAATGTTCCTAAATAAATAGGTCCAAATGCTTGATTAGGAATTCCTTGAAGTACACTTCATGGTCGAACCCTTAGCAAGTCACTTCTAACAGGTAATAACTCGAGTGTTATTACCTGTTAGAATTGACTTCCTAAGTGTTAGTTAGCTCCTGTCATCAACACTAAAATTAGAGTTTATATAGTTTTTTAATAGCCTAGTTGAAAATAGTACAAAAAATATTTCATAAACTTGTTGCTCTCACGTTTCGGGCAGGAAGGGGGGCAAAATTTTAGGGCTTTTTGTTCGCAAGCTTTAATCATCGCAATTTTTTGCAAAGCAATCTTATTTGACATAAGTATAAACATATAAATGTTTGGAGTTTGCTCCATATCTGGAAGTTAGCTTGAAGTAAATACAATTGGAACCACTGATTTGAGCTCTCTTCTTTGGAGTGAACTCGATCACTTTCCTGATTCTCGAGATCGATATATTTGAACTCAATCACTTTCTGATTCTTGAGATCGAGCTATTTGAACTCGATTACTTTCTTGATTCTCGTGATTGAGATATTTAAACTCGATTACTTTCCTGATTCTCGAGATCGAGATATTTAAACTCGATTACTTTCCTGATTCTCGAGATCGAGATATTTAAACTCGATTACTTTCCTGATTCTCGAGATTGAGATATTTAAACTCGATTACTTTCCTAATTCTCGAGATCGAGATATTTAAACTCGATTACTTTCCTGATTCTCGAGATCGAGATATTTAAACTCAACCACATTTCTGGTTCTCGAGATCGAGATATTTAAACTCGATTACTTTCCTGATTCTCGAGATCGAGATATTTAAACTCAATTACTTTCCTGATTCTCGAGATCGAGATATTTAAACTCAATCACATTTCTGGTTCTCGAGATATTTGAAACAATAATCTTTCAAAGAAGTGATATGCTGCAAATAATTTACCTTTTTTTTTTATGGTAAAACTTGCACAAACGTGGTTTTAAACTTGCACAAACGTGGTTTTAAACTTCCACAAACTTGGTTTTAATTTGATTAGATAATAAGATAATTTCCGAAAAAAATAAACATTAAAAAAATAATGGGCTTCCTGATATTCAAAGATATCAGGAAGCCCATTACTAAAAATTAAATAACTGATGAACATCTATGGCAAATAAAGATATATAAAATTTAGTGGTAAAATTTGAAATATAGTGATAAATTTTTAATCTTTGTTATTAATATTATTTAAATAAATAGCACTAAATACTTTAGGGTCGGTGTGGGAGTTTTAGATATTGGTCTTGGGTTATTGTACCAAAATTCATAATTCAAGATATTTCGAATTTTTTGCAGGGTTTCACAACAATCTTATTTAAAAGTTTTCACAACAGTTTCAGTTAAAATAAAATTTAAATTTTTGTCTTTAAAAGCTGCCCTAAAAACTTTTTGAAGTTTATTTTTACTTTAAAAGGTTTGGGGAATTAAAAAGTTCATAATGTTTATTGAAACACCTCATAAGATAAAACAATTTGCAAAACTTTAAATGATGTTAATAAATTATTGTAGTTATATTTCAACAAATGAGCTAGGAAGGAATTAATAAAAATGTTTTAAAATATTATCAATTTGAATATGTGAATGCAAAATATTATGTCAGTTTACAATATGTGTAAAATGTTTTCACTATATATTTTACTCATGGTGCTAAAAGAAGTAGGTCGCAAAATTTTATCTTATTTTATGATTTTCTCTTTTTAATAACTTTATAAAACAATCAAAAAGTTGTCTTTTAAACGTGAATATTGTAATATAAAATTTAAATAAAAGTAAGTTAAACTTCAAAAGTCTTTCAAAAAGAATTTTTATAAGAAGTTGTTGACTTTTTTTTTTTAACCTTTGACTGTTTTGAAAAAATTGTTCATAAAATAATATACAAACAATGTAGTATATAAAAAAAACACACTTCTAGGTACTATATTATTACTTACTTTTCAACCACTATCTGTCAGGATCTGGTATCTGTCCTTAAAGAACATAATTAATAGTTAGCATATTCTATAAAGAACTTTTAATTCGTTGTGAAAATTTTCTTTTGCATAAAAAAAAGTGGAATACACCGCTAACACCTGCGCCAAGATCTGGTACAAAATTTGGAAATCTTAACCCGTGACTTACTCCTCCCCATCCTTCCCTTCTCTCTAAAGCTATATTTACTGTATACTATATTTCTTTTATCTAATTTTTAACTAAATTTTTATTGCAGAAAAAAAAACAGTTTATCAGTAAAAGAGTAAAAATTGCTTTAAAATGTCAGAATAATAGTTACAAGAAACCATAGCAACAAATGTCACAAAATTAACGAATTATGTATGAACTTTGTATGAAATTAACTTATCTTATATAAATTAATTGTAAACTAGAGTATATTGATTAGAATGATTATAATTCCATCGGACTCCTGCTATGATGACTTAATAAACTTACTTCCATTAAGAATACATTTGAAATCTTTATCGATATTTTTAAACTTCTTTCCATAATTTTTATAGTCAATTTTTTTTTAATAATTTGAAATGCTTTGCAAAGCACAACGGAATAAGATAAACATCCTGATTTTCAAATATACTTTTTTATTTATTAGGAAATTCCACTTTGCTGCAAACATATTTCTGCGATGGAGATTGTATTTTAATGGATTAGCGGATGCGTTTTTATGTCATCTCTTATTAAATTGTATTAAGATTGATTTTTTTTTGTGTATGATAAATCCTGACATACCAATACAGTCAAAATAATTTTATTATAATCGGAAACCCATTGATTATCCTGACTTTTAGAGTTGATAAATCAGTTATATTTTTCTGTATCTATAACACTTGCCATCAAGGAAAGCATTTTTATGGTTCCAGAACTGAGCTACTTGAATTTTATTTTTATCAAAGTTGAAAACTTCGGATAGTGAAAGCTATAATGATATCTTTATTTTATTTTTAAAAATTAAACTGCAAAGATATTTAACTGACAAAAAAAAAACATTAAAAAAACCTCTATCATTTTAAAATCATATAACATGAGAGGAATAATAATTTATAGAGAAGTACCAAAAAACTATAATGCAGGATTGGATATTAATTACCCAAATATTGGCATGTATCAGCAAACTATTGGTATGTATTATTCAATTACTAGCTAAAATCAAAGAATGACGGTAATATTGACGAGCTGCCATTGTTTAAGTTTTACGATAATTTGTATGTAAAACACTTATTTGTGTGAGACATCGCACTTTTACAACTTTATGCTAAGTTTATGCGAAGTTTTAGTGTTCATGCTGTAAAAGCTTGTCGTTTGCTGTTTTGAAAATCTTTGTGAAAACTACCTCGAAATTGAACGTATATAGCTTAGGTATCCTTGACTTTTTGCGCTTTAAATAATTGCTTGAATAACTAAATAGTAGGCTCACAATTCAAATCCAAACTAAAAAAAATAACTCATAATAATAAATAAATAAGTAAATAATAAAATTTTTTAATGTAATTTTTGTTATCGTCAAATAATATCAAAAGAAACATTTATTATCGTATTAAATACCACATTTTTTTGCGGTCTCTTTTATGAATGAAATTCAATGTATTCTATACGAATATGGTTGTTTTAAATAAATTTTAGTTTGAAAAAAAGTTTAACTTCATGAAAAAAAGATAATTAAACCCTAAAAAGAGTTTAATTTAAATTACAAGATAATTTAAACGCTTAAGATGATTTAAACTAAAAAAAACCATATCTTTTAACTATTTTAGCTAAAATATATAACTTTATGTCATTTTTTCAGTTTTTAGAGTAATTAGAAGTTTATAAATAAAAAGTTCTTGCTTCTAACATGTGTAAAGTGAAAACTATTCAGACAAATGACAAAATCGTAAATAAAGCGAAGTAAAGCAAAACACAATGAAATATGCCAACTACACATTTAGAATGAATACTTTTGAATTGGAATTGCTATAGCCTTTAAAACCTTTGTTGCTATTTTATATAAGAAACTATTCTTAAGTGTTCATAGGCGCCAAACAACAAAATAATGTCTTTACAACAGTATTTTATTGGCTGTACTATAATACGCTGTATTAACATAATTTTAGAATAAATAAGTTTAAAGCTTAATGATTTATAATAATTTAACGAAAGCCTTAAAAATAATTATAACAAACTAAAATAGCGTTGTTTTTTATTATTTGTCTGTCTAATTTAAAAAAATGTAAATCAAAAACTAATTCATAGTTAATAAACTATTACATTTATCTATTATATTTAAGCCATTTAAATCATTTTTGACTTAAAAACTCATCTTTGAATTTTAACTAAATAAAAAATTTGAAGTAGTTTTTATGCTGCAAAACTTGATTAAACCCCTTTTGTGTATTTATTAAATATTTTGTACACTATCTAGTTACAATTATTAAACATTTTAAATAACTTTAAAATCTAATAAATTTAACTTGAATGTCCACCCTAATACATGAAGTTAATGTATTTTATTACAGAATAACGCATTAAAGGATTTTAACATTAACAAATCCCATAGGTAAATATAATACCATAAAGAACTTCTTTTCTTGTTTTAATTACTTTATCTTGTGCGAGTTTGAGTGTTTGAATTGACATCCTTTTAGTTGCATTGCAATAGCTTATTAATACATAACTTTTTTTTTTAATGTTTTAAACAATTAACGGAATTATTACTGTTTAAATTTAGACTTCTGCAAAAAGAAATATGACTCTGTGTAGCTAGTTTATTTATTTAACAAACAGAATTTAAAAAAGTGTATAAGAAATTCTAAACTTTTACAGACACAAACTATTATTGTAAAGTAACAGCGAAAACAAAAAATATCGATTAATGAATAGGCGAATATAATTTATAATGGGCATTAATAAGTATGCAAAAATCTTCTTGAGTTGGTTGAATGGTTATGATTAGTGTTAATTACAAGTAAAAATTATTATTATAAAATAAAAAATAAAAAAAATTGGAGAACAAGTTATAATTATATAAATTAAATAATATAGTGCTCATAAAATAACAATTAAATTTGTTTTCACCAAATTAAAAAGTTATGGGTGACAAGCTTGTATCAAATAATATGCAAAGTGCATATGAAAACTCTCATATTACATCCTTTGTTGAGGTGATTGAAATCACTGATCGATATATTTTAACAGAGGTTTTTGAACATATTGACAAGACATTTGACGGCAATATTGTTGAAGACACCAAGACCCCAATCGAAGTTTTAGATATAACGCATATATGTGAAAATATCACAATTCTGAATTATATTGATATAGATGAAACAGGTATGCAACTAATTTCAAAAGTTTTATTTAACTTTATTCATTCCTTTTAAAACACAACCCGCTTGCTAATAACTGTTTAAGTTGAGTTTGTACGAATGCGAGGAGAACTACCGCTTAACTAGCACAATTTGTTAAATAAATCAATTCTCCTTTTTTTTTCTTTAACCTTAAAACTCTGAAACGTTGTATTCACTGTATAGTAGTTAATGAATTACTGTTGCAAAGAATAAATAGTCTATTATATAAACGAAAACACGAGAGTATTATTTCATTAAGAAAAATTCGCATTAAAAAAAAACTTATCAAGTTAATGGGGGGTAACGCTTTTTTCTATAAAAATGTAAACACTCGTATTTACATTTGCTATATATATATATATATATATATATATATATATATATATATATATATATATATATATATATATATATATATATATATATATATATATATATATATATATGTATATACATGTATGTGTATATATATATATATATATATATATATATATATATATATATATATATATATATATACATATATATATATATATATGTATATATATATGTATATATATGTATATATATATATATATATATATATATATATATATATATATATATATATATATATATATATATATATATATATATATATATATATATGCCTGTTGTATAACGCTACACCAGGTAAAATTATCTCATTTATTATATATTAGCAGAGTACAAAAACGATTTAACATTTGTGTGTGTGCGTGCGTGTGTGTGTGTGTGTGTGTACGTGTGTGTGCGTGCGTGCCAATAAGAAAGTAGTTTACAATCATAATTTATAAAAACAATAATTTGCATTACTTGGGCTAGAAGAAGACAAACTTAGTCTTATCACTAAGCCCCATCATTCATAAAATCCATGATTTTTAAAAAACTTTATTAGTTGGATGGTAAAACTAAAAAATAAATAAAATTAACAATATTACCAAAAAAAAATTATTTCTTATTTTACCCCCGTGAAGATATGATAAGAATGCGTTATTGACAAATAACTGTGCAAATAGTAATTTGATTTACTTTTAAAAGTTAAAACTGTGAGAAAATAGTTAAATGTGTCGGTTACTGCCATGAGTTTTCCCACAGAAGTTTTTCTCGCAAATTTATTCAATAGTTCAGGATTATTACTATGGCTTTTTGTCTTCATTTTAGGTGTGCTACTGACGTGTCGAAGTAAATTCAAAGCCCATCAGAAATCGAATGAAAAGAAAAACGATAAACTACAAAATGACGATATTAGTACAAATAGCCCGACAGCTAACGAAATAAGTAAAAAACGTCGCTTAAGTTTTCTTAGAAAGCGAAGAAAGTACAGCAACAATAAAGATGAACATATAAATTTGTTGAACGAAAATGAAATAAATAAAAACAAAACTGATAAGACACTCAAAGTAAAAGAAGACAATAGTATTGTTGAATCTAAAACATCTATTACTTTAAAAGACTGTAATAATTTACATGATGATTCAGAAAAATCTCAATTAATTTTTTTAAACGAAAAGAACTTAATAGACAAACCAGAAATTATTAGTAAAGAAGAATCATATTCTATCAATAAAAATATAGTGTTTAAAGCAAAAGTAAATAAACAAAGTAATGAAAATTTAAATAAAACTCAATTTGGTGCCAATACTCCATGTACGGATTTGGTTAATCTGTTGGATAACAAAGTTGATAAAAATGATATAGCCAAGCTTGAAATAAATGAATCTGAAAAAATTTACGCTAATAATGATAAATCTATAGTTGGCAACACATTATCTTCAAGTGTAACAGCAATAAATGTACATAATTTTAACAATACTTATGAACAAACCAGTTTCAATAACTACACTGAAGTTCTTGCTAAAGTTGTTGTAAATGACTCAGTGCAAGAAGCTAGTGATTTATTAAAAAAGAGTGGTATTGCTTCTAGAGATCAAATTTTTGAAGACACTAAATGTAAAAAACAATCTCAATTAAATAAAAATCAATTGGAATTTTTACCAGATGTTGATTATTTACCTGCAAATAAAATAGATTCATCTGAATGTAATAGTGATTCCATTTATAAAATAAACTTGGATGATAAAATTAAAAACATTGTACCGTCATCTATTCTTGTTAATGATCACTCTGATGATTCTAATGATTTAGTCACTTCTACTACTTCTAATAATAAAAATAAAGCTAAACCTAAAGCAGAAGTAAATGGTATTTTTATTGATGAAAATCGTAATTTTCTTAGGGATAAACATATAAATAAAAAAAACACTGATAGACCTTTGTCGGGGTATGCTGAAAAACTAGCTGAGTTATTAGCAGATGAAGATGACCTTGAGTTTCCTGAATCAGACGAGGAACTAAATGAATCAGAGAAGATTATTAAAAAAACTTCAAATGTTACTTCTGTTGAGCCAACACCAGTAACCACCCAAGAAATCAATAATTGCTCTAATATTGATAAAACAGAAGAAAAATCAGTTGCAAGCTCAACTCCTAATAAAAAAAAAAATAAGCGAGGTAGAGCAAGAGGTGATAGGCCTATGAGTCTTTTTGAGCAGGATATGTTAAATGACATTTTGAAAGTTACTAAAAACTTTGAATGTGAAGAAGATGAAAAGTCTGTTAATTCAAATAACATAGAAGGTAATGGCGTAGATGGTATTGACACTGACGATGAAATTTTAGAAGACGAAATTTTGCCTGTAAAAGCCACAATTGAAATCTTAAGAAATAACATTGTAATGCCTCAAAGAAAAATTTCAAATTATTCAGACACTTCATTTGATGATTATATGCGAACACACAACACTCCATTAAATCATGTAACAAACGATCGACGTAAGTTTTTTTACTTTTGGTAAAAATAGTTATATGATTTTTTTTTTTTTTTTTAAATATTTCTTAATCAGTTAAACTGCTTTTTTTTTGTTCATTGTTTTTTTATTTAGTAATAATAAAGAGTGCTTTGTTAAAAATAAGATGATGGTGATATCCTTTTTTTTTTTTTTTTTTTTTTTTTACTTTACCATTGGTAGTAATGGGTTAATACCAATGATTAAATCTTGATGTTAAGGCAGCCACTCATTTTTGATGTCTAAAATAAGCATGGATTTTAGATTTTAAATTTTATGAATGAAAGGTTACTAATAGTTCTCTGATAAAGTGTATAGTTTATATGAGCCACACATAACAGTGTATTTATAATTTACATAAAAAAATTAATGAAAAAATTTCATTATAAAATAGAGGTATATACTGATAATATAAAATATTGCCATACCAGAAATCTTTTTTTTTTCAACTAAAAATCATTTTGTAGAATTTGACCATAATATTTTCTATGGTTTGACCTTGACATTTACAGATATTACTTTTATGTGACTTGATATTACTGCTTTTATTTATTTTTATCAGTTGTAAGTCAATTCTCACTCTTTTAAATATAGGTTTATAAAGAAGGAAAAAGCTTTTTAAAGGTTTTCTTCTTGTGTCATTTGCTGTTATTTCTAAGCGTTCTAATTTTTTATTTTTTTCACAAGTGCAATTCTCTGTGAACAAACTTCTTTTTATGATTATAAGAAATCAGTACAAAAAGGTCGGATGCTAAAGTCTCTGATAAATAAATCTCATATTTTATCTTAGAAGTCAGGTTCTAGAGACTTAAGGGAAAACTTTACCAAATTAATAGACAAACCAGAAATTGTTGTTTCTAAATTGAAATTAAAAAATGTCATTATGCAAAGATAAGTTCAAGATTTTGTCTCTCATACATGGGTCTTATTACCTCTCCCAATGTTAAGATGCAAAGGACTTTTCATCTTTGCAAAGGACTTTTCATCTAATTCCACTATTGAATATTTAACAAGTGCTTAATTGCTTGAAGTTGACATCTGTGGTACTAGTTTTGAAAAATTCTGGAGATAATCCCTTGAACCATACAGTTTTTTTGCTATTATTATAAATTATTTTATTTAACAAACTTCTAATATTTTTTATTGATTCTAATAAGTTAATCTCTGACAATTAATGTGAATTTCAATTTTCTTGTTCTACTGCTAACTTGTTAAATGTTATAACTGAAAAGCTCTATTGCGCATTAGATGGAAGAGGTAAGAGAAGGGCTGTTACTCTTTACATATAAATAAATAGAAAAATTGGCATCAAAAAATATTAAAAAGTTGATATAGAAAGGCTTTTGATAAAGTCTGGCATGCCTTACTTTCCCATAACCTCATTGACAAACTTTACACAGACTAAGTCTAAAACCTTATTTAATTGATGTTGGACCTGCTTTTGTTGCCAAGCATGAGTGCTCTTTCATACTCAAAAACTTTTATATAATTTTTTTTTTTCTTTGAAGATTGGTGGTTTGGAAGTCTTCATGTTTTACAGTTTACAGTTTAAAAGTTTTCTGTCACCTGCTTTCTTGCTCATTAACGTAATAATTTTTGCTGCTAACTTCCAACTAAGTGATTGGTTGTAAAAACTTCCAACTTAATGATTGGTTGTAAAAACTTCCAACTTAGTGATTGGTTGTAATGAATATGTTTGTGAGTGAATATGTGAAAATAAATAAACATCAGTGCTTTAGAGTTCTTTCTTGTCTTCATGTTTACTCATGAGTAAACATGAAGACAAGAGAGACTAGTTTTTTCCTTCAACCATCAATGCTTTAAAATTCTCTCCTGATTCAATGTTTTTCTGACTCTAATAATTCACAGTTTTTTTAGTTTTCTATGAAGTTTTGCACTTCAACTCTCTTATTTACCTTTTCTCCCAATTTAATAGTGGTTGCCTACAGCTTTGTTGTAATTAAATTTGTTAAAAAAACAAATGTCCAGATAAATTTAAAATAGAACAAATTGTCTGTTTTGGCTGTGATTATCAAAAAATTTATAGTATAGAAACAAACTTAATAAACAAAGAGCTCATATTTTACTAAAAACATAAAATAATTAAATTAGTCCTAATTTAGATATTAATTTACTAATTAATCCTAATTAAATTTGTTAGGTAGAATGGAAATAGAATAAATTTCTATACATTTATAAATAAGATTAGTCATAAACAAATTGATAATCTTAATAGGCAAGTATTATGCAAAACCAACAGAGATCACAATCGAAATATTATAAGGCAGTTGCTTGAACACTCTTTGCAGAGACACAATCTGATTAGTTGGTATTTATACTTGATAATGAAGTTTTGCATCAATAAAGAGTTTTATGATAAATTTTAAAAAAATTCTACAGTTTTCAGGTTCTTTTTTAAAACAAGAACGAAGTTTTAATTGTTATGTGTTTTGAATTGTGTTCAATTATTTTATAATTTTTTATATGCAATAATAGAACCACAGACAAGCATTAATGAAATTTTTATTGATTATAGCTTTAGCACTACGAAAAGCTGCAGTATTAGATGCTGGATGTGGTATTTTGAAGGCTGGAATATGTGGTGAGACAAAGCCATCTTGTTACTGCCCATCGGTAATTGGGGTGCCACGTCGTTTTTCTCAAGATGTCAGCAAAATGAAAAAGCCTTATTATGTTGGCGATGAAGCATGGGAAGTAGCAGGGATGCTTCAAATAGGTAAATATATTTAATGTACATTGTCTAATTTTAGACAAATTTTTTGTAACAATAATTAAAAGATGTTTTTAATAAGTTCATATTTAAGTTTAAATATTATATTGTTTGATATTTAATATTAAAATTGTAAATTTAATAAATTTATAAATGAAAATATATATGATTTTTAAGTTTACATATATATATATATATATATATATATATATATATATATATATATATATATATATATATATATATATATATATATATATATATATATATATGTATATATATATATATATATGTAAACTTATGATTGTTTTAGTAAATAAAACGTTTTAAAATAGTAAAATAAAAAAGCCCCATTGTACTTTTGTTTGACGTTTTTTGGCGTCATTAAACAGTTTTTAGTACCATTTCATTTTGTTGTCAAAAACATTAAATAAAATTGCATGTATAACTACTGATTTTACATTTTATTTTACATTATCTTTTACATTATATTTTACATTGTATTTTATATCATATTTTATATTATCTTTTACATTATATTTTATATTTTATTTTATATTTTATATTATATTTTACTTTATACTAAATTATATTTTACACGTAGTGGCTGGGTATTCAGTGGGCATTGTAGAAGTCTGGCAGCAGGTTACTTGTCAGGCTATGTAGGGGGCAGGTAGCTAGCAGGCATATGTGTAGCAGGTAATGTAACTTGTTAACCTGCAGGCTTTGTAATAACTATGAGCAGGCTATGAGTTGATTATGTAGCGGGCTATGTATATTGACTTATGTCCTAAAAACAATTAAAACTAATAAAAAGCATCAACCAATTCTTTCCATGATTGCGCGGGCCATCCTACTAGTATATATATATATATGTATATATGTGTATATATATATATATATATATATATATATATATATATATATATATATATATATATATATATATATATATATATATATATATATATATATGTATATATATATATATATATATATATATATATATATATATATATATATATATATATATATATATATATATATATATATGTATATATATATATATATATATATATATATATATATATATATATATATATATATATATATATATATATATATATATATATGTATATATATATTAAGTTAAATTTAAAAAATATAAATTTAGAAATATATGCCAATTTAAAAAAAGATGTTGTAATGCTACCTTATTTTATCTTGTTATTTAATTTTAAATTTTTTATTTTTCAAAGAGCATCCCATAAAACAAGAAATTAATAACTGGTCTGATGTAACTAGTATAATTGAACATTTAATGGAACATGAGTTGAAAATTAATGACAATGAGCATCCAATTTTGATGACAGAAATGGGACTCACTTCTAAAAAACATAGAGAAAAATTGACAGAGGTAAGCAAAAGAAAAAGTCGTGAGTATAAATACATTACTTATAATGATTATAATAATTTAGAAATGCTTTAGTTTTTTTGTCATAATAAATGTGTATGTTTATATATCCACATTGAAGAATGTAATATATATTTTTGTATTTTTCCAAGAATCAAGAAGTGAGCAAGGTCTATTTTTTATTTCTAAATCAAAGTCACTTTTTCTCCCTTGGCTTTTAAATTGGCAAAAAAAGTTCCTATGAATTACAAAATATTATGTTTTTTATTAATATTTATAATATCAATATGTGATTTAACAAACTAGTTCAAATGGTTTCACTGCACATACTGAGAGTTAATAATCATATCTTCTGGCCTTGCTTCTAGACAGTGAAATATTTCTTTTAAAACTGTGTTATTGTATTATTTTTCTTTTCTTGCTCTGTACAAAAATTAGTGCAATAGTAACACCTGTTTTTTTTTTTTTTGCGCATTGTCTTTAACTTAAAAATATAAATGTATGGGAAAATTTTCATTTTAGAATTAGTATCAAAAAAGGAATTTATTCTGAATTATGTTGTCAAGAACCTTTTAAGAGTTACAGTGTGTCAATTAAATCTTTTTAAAGCCAATTTATAAATACAATAAAAGCATGCGTAAATTGAAAAATAAAAATTTACTTTTATTTTAAATTTAAAACGTTAGAAAGGTTTTTAAGTCACTTAACTTTCAGTCGCAAGTAAGCATTACAGGTGATGATTGTTAATACAACTTTTTTTATTACAGATAATGTTTGAGCAATTTGGTGTTCCATCATTTTATCTAGCAAACCAAAGTGTCCTTGCTTTGTACTCAATGGGAATGATGTCTGGTGTGTGTTTGAGTTCTGGTTTTTATAATACTCAAGCTATTCCCATTTACGAAGGACATACAATTCCACATGGCATATCTCAACTTGATATAGGTGGAGAGCAAGTAACAAACTATCTGGGAAGATTGTTACAACAATCTGCACAACCAAGATCATTTAGTACTTCTTCTGAGAAACTTGTACTTAACTCAATGAAGCAAAGCTTGTGTTATGTTTCTCAAGGTACACTAATTTATATGCAATATTTTGTAACTATATTCACTTAGGTCTCCTTAAATTAAAAAGTATTGTTATTAAATCTTTTTTTCAATAAAAGGAATACAGCTTCTATTCTAGAGCCTTATGAATCAATGTTTGTATATCTGAATATTTTTATATTCAGAATGAAACACCTATTTTTATAAGAATATATTTCTGACAAAAGTTTTCTTTTTTTCAGATTAGTACTATCTGATTTGCTAATATTAGTGCACACAAATACATTTAGTTCAAATGTTATATTTTTAAATAGATGCTAAAAAAGAAGAAACTCTTTACAAAACTCAATCGAAAATGTATGAATCCTATGTATTACCTGATGGTCAGGAGATTGAAGTAGGTGCAGAAAGATTTATTGCACCAGAAGTTCTCTTTGATCCACATTTGTTAGGTTTAAACCAGCCAAGCACAACGCAACTAGTCACACAAACACTGGAGTTGTAAGCATTTATATTGCTATTTTATTAATTAAAATTTAAAAAGCTATTTAAACTAATAATTGGTTTTTTGATTTACTTAGGGTAAACTCCGAACTGCGAGATATATTCTTGCAGAACATCCTAGTAACTGGCGGTAATACAAAGCTCAAAGGATACAGTACAAGACTTGAAAAAGAACTTGCTATAGAAAATCCAAAAATTAAAATAACATGTGCCGACGATCCCTTATTAGCAACTTGGATAGGTGGTTCCATTATGTCATCAATATCAGCTTATCGCGATCAATGGATGACAATTGATCAATATACTGAGCATGGTTCTAAACTTGTTCATATGCTTTGCTTTTAAGGCTACTTTAAATTACTAGGAACTTGCTTTAAACCATTATGAAATCTATTGTGTCTTTCAAATCTCCTTGAAATTTTATTGTTATACGATCTCTCTGCTGTTAGTTGTGAATAAAACTTTTTATATATTTTTTTGTTGTTGTGAATAGTAATAAGAGTATTTTTTAATTTTGTTTTTATTCTAAAATACCTTTTTCAATAAAGATCAGTTTCACTCAAATAAAATTTATACTACGCGTGCTTACGTGATTATTTTCTCTTTCTTTTTCCGATAGAAAAGCGGTTTCCGTAAAAAACCGGATAAGTGGAAACTGACTTTAAGAAATTTTTTTTAATTTTTTTTTTGCAACGTTAAACGCGCTTTAAATGTATTTTAACACCCTGCCATTCCCTGCGCTTTTTCAAAGTTTTCAACTCAAATGAATAATACTTCAGAGATATTTAGTGCACTTTAGTAGGTTGACATAAGATTGCTACCTGAAAACGAATCAAAAACTGTATATATTTTTTTAATTTTTATCCTTGTTTACTAAAACTGAAATGCGTTCAAAAAAGGAGAGGGTTCTAAACTTTATATAGCCGTTCCTTTAGAAGCGTCAAAATAAATGATAAAATTTAATTTTAAATTATGATTCTATTTTAGTTGTTGTTTAATTTTTAAATTATGATTCTATTTTAATTGTCAACTAGAGTGTTTTTGAAGTTGAAGTTTTTCAATGAATTTAGAACGCATTAATCTTAAATATCTTAAAAATTCAGACAAAGTTTAATTTAAAAATATTCAAACAAATGAAAAACACAAAAAGTATATTAGATTTTATAATATGTTACAAAAAAGACATTGTACTCTTTCAAATTATATTTAACAACCATAATAGTAGCTACGGTATATATAGCAGAGACCTTTACAAACTTGTGTTACCTATTCAAATTGAATAAAAAACTCGTTCCTAAAAGTGTTTAAAGCAGTTTAGAAAATAAAAATCTACCATCTATAAACTCAGGGTTTTACTAAATTCTTAATACTCTATTTAAAAGTGTCATTTTGTAGCATAACAGGCATAAATTGGTTTTCCTATTGTAATAACTTATTTCCTTATGAGGTTTGTTATCAAATTAGTACTTTTCAAAATATTTTATTTATGCTTAAATGTAAGCTCGGACTTATTTTACGAATAATTTTATTCAAATCAACGCATACGGATATATCACACGAGAAACAGAAAACTTCACATTGACCATTAAAAAAAATAACAAATATTTCAAGATTTTCAATTGTACACTGCTTTTACTTAAATAAAAAATGACACCTCAGATTATACAACATAATAAATCTTTATTACACAAATAAAAATATTAAAAAATTAAAATACCTTATAAATAACATAACCAATTTTATCGATACGCATTAAATGTAAAAGTTCAATAATAACAATAAATTACTTATTTAAAATACAACTGTGTAGCTGTAGTCAAATACATTTGATCAAATACAAATTCAATATTTTTGATCAAACGCACATTCAAATACCTGTGATCGTGGTTTTGAAGCGAGCTCGGGGCATATTTTGCACCATTGTAAGGAAGGAGACGTGAACTTCCTATTTAAATGCTCTTCCGCGTTGCTCTGTGACAAGGCTGTAAGGTCTTCTTGGGGCACCTAAAAAAAAATTAAAAAGTTAAAAAAAACGTTAAATCTAGATACCCGAATAGGGTTTGTAATCCCGTGCAATATTTTTAATCCCGGTATTATGTTGTTAAATATATATATATATATATATATATATATATATATATATATATATATATATATATATATATATATATATATATTATATATATATATATATATATATATATATATATATATATATATATATATAATATACACAAAAAAAACTTGACGTTAAATTTGTGTTAATAAGATATAAAATATTTTAATAATTATGAACAGGAGGTAATCCACTGGTATTCAGAGTAGTAGCCCTCCTATAAAGATCAACTCAACATCAAAGAAGTAATCCACTGTTGTTTGTAGTGGTCGTTTCTCTTTCATTTCATTGGTGGAAATCGAGGATTGAGATATGACTAAACTCACTGACCAACAAAAGAATTGTATAGCTTTGATGATTAACAAAGCATTTGAAGAGCTAAAGGATGACTTTCAAGTGAAACTAAATCAACAAGCTAAACTATTTGAAGTGAAATTAAAGGAAAAAGATGCAGAAATAGCTGAACTTAGTGAGAAAGTAAAAAGACTACAAGAAAACAATGCACATTTACCACCTTCTAGTTCACCTGCTGTTTGTTACAGCCAAATTGCTAAGCAACTAGCCAAACCAGGTTCTGAGCTGTATAATGCTAGCATCAAAGTGTCAAAATTCATGAAACAATATCCAGTAAAAAGTCTAAAAATGTTGTAATTGTTGGTTTGCCTAACTCACAAAAAACTATAATCAAGGATTGCAAGACAGATGACGAGAACATGGTCAACGAATTAATATGTTCGCTGAACAGACGAATAATAATAAAATCAACATTCAGATTAAAATCTAAAGTTCCCTTGGTAAACAATGCATCTGAACCGTTAGTTGTCGAATTTGAGAATGAAGTAGCACGAAACGAGATGTTGTCTGCCGGAAGGGAACTGTCAACTATTGAGGCCTACAAAAAAGTATATATACAGCCTGACCGCACTCCTGATGAGCAGGCTGAATTTGCACAATTAAATAAAGAGAGAAAAGAGGCGAACGAGGACTTGCAACGTAATAATAACCTAGACCAGCCCTTTCGATTAGTCATTTGTCATTAGTCGGAAAATTACTGTGCATCGACGTCACTACAACAAAAGACATTGGCAACCGCAAAGTTCACCCATTTGTCAAAGAGAGCGTTGCCAAGCAGGCCCGGAGGGGCTCATATCAGCCAATCTTATAAATCTTACCAAAACTTGAGTAATGTAAAACTTCCTATTTATTTAAAGCAAAATACTAGTACTAACTATAAACCAATTAAATTTTATTATACTAATGCTACCTCCAGTAACTCTAATAAATTATCTGAGCTGTCCACACTTGCTTTGGCATATGAAATTGATGTTATTGCAATTGCAGAAACTTGGTTTAAATTGGATTCGGTTAAAATAATTGATGGCTATGAACTGTATCAGGCAGATAGAGATAGAATTAGAGGAGATGTTGCCATTTATGTAAATAAAAGACTTACAAATATAGAAATTGTAAATGTGCATCTTAACAACAAAAAGATCGAACAAGTCTGGTGCTCAATAAATTGTAATAATTTTCATTTAATTGTTGGTTGTGTATATAGACCACCAAACTCTACAGCTGATTACTCAAAATTGATTCTAGACTCAATCAGAACCGCTTCAAAACTTAAAAGTGGAAAAAAATACACTGATCTCATAGTGGTTGAAGATTTCAATTTTCCTAATATAGAATGGACAGATGATGGTCCAATAATTCATTCAAATGCAAACTCAATTGAACATGAATTTATTAAAGTTTTAAATGATTGTTCTATATACCAAATAGTAAATTTTCCAACATTCAAACAAAATGACTCTGTTTCAGCAGTTAACACCCTTGATCTTGTTTTAGTTTGCAATCCAAATTGCATTGATATTCTTCAATGTGGTCCACAGTTAGGCCACTATGAAAAAGGAAGATACAATTACTCCATCACTTGGCATTATTTTACTAGTCTTAGTAACAATACAGTACTCACAAAAGATAAGTTTTGCTTTAAAAAAGGTAATTTTTTTCAAATGAATAAATACTTGAAACAAGTCAACTGGGTTGAGCATTTTTATAACAAACCAGCCTGTGAATGTTATGAGTTATTTTTGCATACATATAATGAATCTTGTCAATTGTTTATTCCTATTTTGAATAATAAAAAAAAGAATAGTCAACCCTGGTTGGATGCAAAAGTTAAAAAAGCAATAAAGATTAAACATTCTATGTTTTATTAAAATTTGCATCGGCAAAGTCAAGAATCTCGAAAGGCTTTTAACAAAATGTGTGCTAATGTTAAAAAGCAAATTAAAAGATCGACTCGAGAATACGAAACGGATTTAGTAAAGAGAGCAAAGCTTGCACCAAAACTTTTATTCTCATACGTAAACAGAAAACAAAACATTAAAACGCAAATTAGAGCAATCAAGAACAAAAAAGATCAAGTTACAACTGAGATATCAGACACTTCAGATATATTAAATAAGCAATTTCAGTCAGTCTTTGATAATTATAATGACCAACCAATACCCGAATTCTTGCAAAGATGCGTAAACCAGTGCGATTCCAGTAAGTTATCTATTATGATTACCTATGAAAAAATTCTCAAAATGTTAGAAGGTATGGATGAGGCAAAAGCGATGGGTTTTGATGGAGTTAGTCCGTTTGTTTTAAAGCATGCTGCAGAAGATTTTGTGGACCCAATTGTTCATATTTTCAAATTAAGCTTTGACACTGGATGTGTCCCTTACCACTGGTCTGTTGCAAATATATCACCAATTTACAAAGGGGATCAAAACTTGAACCAGAAAACTACAGACCAGTATCCCTAACATCTGTTATTTGTAAAATGTTCGAAAAGCTCATTCGGGACACAATTCTGCAACATTTAGTTTCAAATAGACTTATATGTGAGGAACAAACTGGTTTTGTTCCAAACAAATCATGCACAACAAATCTTATTGAGACAATTGACACAATTACATTTGAAACTGCAAAAGGTAAGCCGTTATGCGTCATATATCTTGACTTCGCAAAGGCTTTTGATAAATTAGAACACAAAAGATTATTGAAAAAGATTAAAGCGTATGGTATAACTGGTAAAATATATAACTGGATTGAAAGTTTTCTTGCAAATAGGAAACAAAGAGTTGCTATTAGTAATACAGTTTCAGAATGGGAATCAATTACCAGTGGCGTGCCTCAGGTTTCCGTTTTGGGTCCAATGTTGTTTCTACTATTCATAAATGACCTCCCAGAAGTTGTGCTAAACACATTTAAAATGTATGCTGATGATAGCAAAGTAATAGCCATAGAAGATTCCATTGATAAACAAACGGAAATACAAACCGACCTTGACAACATTGTGAAATGGTGCAACAATTGGGGTATGGAACTGAAAGGCCATCTTTGGTAGGTCAATGTCTTCTTTACGTAAAGAAGATAACTACTGCAACAAAGTTACCTTGGTCAACACTGTATGATTTCCAAAACGCTTGCCCTTGACTTCCTAAAGAATTGCATGTGTCGATAAGAATTTATTTTTTCTATTCCCATTATATCTTTTGTTGCTCTATAAGAGAAAGTCTTTTGGATTTATCAATAAGGTGGGCTACATGTCACTTTTTCATAATAATTTGACAATATTTACTTAACTAAAATAAAGGTAAAGGACGCCTGAAGATTCTAAGTCTGTCTTTTTCATAGATTTTCATCTTGGACCAAGACCTTTCCTCAACAATTATCCAAACATCTTCAGTTTTTCCCTTCTTTCCAACCCTCGGGGAAAATGCAGCAGTCAAAACAAAATGCAACATCCTTCTGGATGCAGTATTCTAAATGTTCAAACTTTATGTACCACTGGAGATTAAATCTATTTTTATCGTCACTTGAGAAGCTTGACTTGCTCATGCTTTATATAACCAATAGGAAACAAAGATTATTATCAAATAAAAGTGTAAATAGTATAGTAGCTAGTCAGTAACTAAGTTAGTAGTAATTTATTTAAAAGTGTAAATAGTATAGTAACAGTCAGTAACTAAGTTAGTAGTAATTTATATTATGGCATAAATGCAATATTTTTAATTTCTCTTAATGAGTGCAAAAGTGTTCCAGGTAATTCATGATATAATGATGGACAAAGGACAGTTATACGCGTCACTTTATGATGCCTATGTTAAGGCATATTCACAGAAGAGGAAACAAGATTATTAAAAAAAAAGGAAGTTAATAATATTCGGAGTAAGGTGAAATCTGAAGATTCTTTCTGCAAAAGTAGACTCCCTGTTAAAAGAATATGATGCTCTGTTCAAAAAGAAAAAAGATACACTGATGAGTTTCTGGGTAAATCAACCATTACGACATGACGTTGCGAAAACTATACCTCGTAAATCATCGACCCCGGATGTTCTAGAAAAATTACCAGATGCTGTTGTAGGGGGTAATAAATATAAAGCTTCTTCTTGTGAATGTTTTATGATAACTTCACCTACGTCTGGTGCTGAAAATGTAGGAAAATATAAAACAAAAGTTCAAGATGAACAAAAAGTTAAAATTGATGTTATCAAGAGTGATTAAGTTGGAATACATAAAAGAAAAGTGGCATTATTACGAATGATCAAAAAGCAGAGCTTATTGAGAAATAAAGGAAAGTAGATATGTTGGAGAAAAGTTTGTTAAAAAAAAAGAAAGAACAAGCAAGACAGAAAAAAAACTAGAGAAAAAAAGAGATAAACTCTAGCTAAAATTTGTACAGAGAATCCTGGAGTTTGTGATGCTTTGAAAGCAAAAGATAAAGTAAGCCGATCTGTTGAAATTTATCAACCACTTTTCCTGAAAGCCATTGTTGATATTGCTTTACATGGATCAGCTGCACCTAAAAGACGATAGAGTGATATGTATCGCAGTATTAAAACACTAAATGATTTGACACAGCAATTAAATAAAGAAGGTCATCAGGTGAGTAGGAGCACCGTTTACACTCGACTAATGCCATAATGAAGTTCAATTTTGGAAGAAAAAAGACACATATCAACAGTACTAGTTAAATTGATCCGATCTCAGAATGAGTCACACTCCAAGCACATCAATGGAAAATTCTGTACAGCAACCTTGAGACATCTGGAAGAGTTGTCGTCTATACTGGGTCCAAAAGAAGTTTGTTTTATGATCCAATATGACAAAGCGCGATTCCCCATTGGTTTAACACCTGCAAACAAAAAAGTTCCATTGCTTATGTATCTTGAATATTGCATCAAATTGCCAGACCACGATTGGGTTGTTGCCGCAAGATATAAGCTTGTTCCATCAGTTTATGCTGGAATTTGCATCAAAAAAGATGGACTTGGTAAACTAGACACTGTTACTTATTCAGGTCCGTCTTATATTGCAATCCGATCAGGCAAACATTCGTCTTCCTCTGCACTTGCTCATGATTTAGACTTTGAGAGATTGTTGCAATTAGACGAATTTGATGCAATAACAAAAGACGGCTGAGATAAGACGGTTAAGCCTATTATTGTCTTCATGGTGGATGAAAGAACAGATGAAAATCCACGTTATCAAAAAGTCATAGATGTTTTTATCCACCATTTTGTTAAAAATAATCTAGATGCCTTATTTATTGCAACCAATGCCCAGGTAGAAGTACTTTCAATAGAGTGGAACGTCGAATGGCTCCATTGAGCAGAGAACTTTCTGGTGTTATATTACCTCATGAACGTTATGGTATTTATAGGGCAGAACAATAGATGATTATTTGAAACAAAGAAATTTCAAGCATGCTGGACAAACATTGGTTGAAATAAGGTGGCAAGTTATTATTGACCAGTTTCCAACAGTTGCCGAGTTTGCTTATCCAGAGACATTTGAGCTAGATGCAGAATAATTGATAATTAAAGATATAAAATGGTTTTCTGAACACATCCGCACAAGTCAATACTTTACTCAAATTGTCAAATGGCAAAATGTAAAATGTTGCTTTAAAATTAGAAGCTCATAGTTCCATGTTGTTTCTCGTGAATCTTATGTCCTTCAATTCCAGTTATTCAAACAAGTTATGGTCTTCAAGCTGACAAAAGAGGAGACAGCAGACAGAGTCTCATAAGTTTCCATCACTTTTTGTTTCACATAGCGTTAAAATAGGTGATATAATGGCAAGATTGGCAGGAAGTTTCCAAGTTCATCTTTATGATCTCTTTTGTCCATCAGTACAGACTTGTCTAATCAATCGAATGTGCAAAGTTTGCCATCTCTATTTTGCTTCTCAAGCCATCTTGAAAAAACATGTTGGATTGCACAAAAATTGCGATGAAAGAAATAATGTACTTGAAAAAACTCAAACAAGGCGTATCAGACCAATAAGAGTAGCTGTGAGAAGACAAAGAGAGCTCATGATAGTTATTGCTCGAGAAAAAAATGAAGATATAGAATGGCTGGATGAAGATGAAGTTGATGTTTCGGGAATTGTTATTCCAGATGAAGATTTAGAAAAAACATTAGAAATGCCTGTTCTAACTATAGATGAACACTTCATTCTCCGGAGATATCCATCTACGGAGAATTGAAATGATAAATGGATAGATAAAATAAAAGTTTAATTTGTAATTTGAAAAACACGAGGTTCAAATAAAAAAACTATTTTTATTTTATTTTATAATGATGATCTTCCCAATAAATTAAGAAGGTATTCCCAGTTAGTTAAATTGAGTCTTTTTACTCTGTTAAATAACTATTACTATTTTTTTAGAATGTTGAAAACTCCGTAATGATTTTTTGTTTTTGTTTTAGAGGGGAGTGGGGGAAGGGGTGGGGATGGGGAGGCAGAAATATGTGACATACTTTTTAGGGGGTGCAGAAATATGTGACAGTTTGTGACAGGAAGGGAGGAGGGGGGTATGTGAGACGCTATTCACATTCTCTTAATGAATGTGAACAGCGTCTACTCGAATTACCTGCCCAATAAGCGACATTGGTAAGGAAGGAGGCGCAAACTTCCTACTGCTTTTTCTTACTTTCTATGCTCATACTTGCTCTTACTATCTAACTTCCTATGTTGTTTCGCGGTGCTCTGTGATAAGACCGATAGAACTTCTGGGAGCACCTTCATAATCACGCGGTAAAACGAAATACGACAAGCAAAATTATCCAGCAACTTTTTAATTAAATTTAACGTCTTTCTGACGTTAAATTTAATTAAAATATCGGAAATCAACATTTTCTCTTAAACCGTAAACTATATCTGTAAAAATAAATAAAATTTGGCGCGAGAAATTAGGAAAATAAACGTAAAGTTTTCAACTAGATTTCGACAGTATTCTACTCTTTGAAATGATAGATTTAATTACAGGTGTTAGGAAGGTATTTAATGCTGCTCAAGATGGTATTGTTGCATCAAAATTATGCGAGCAAATGTCAGAATTAATGGTTACTTCTAAAGAAGAAGAGTTTTGGGAAGCTTTTCTTGATCATCTAAAAAAAACAATGATATATTACAAACCTGAAACAGTTGTTGAAAAAATTATTGAATTTTGCGCATTATTTGCAACATATACCTCCAAAAAAAAAAAAGTAATAATTTTATTTATAACTTTTAATAGTTAATATGTAAGTAAATTTATTTATGAATATATTAAGCAAACAGTGCCAGTGCTGCAAACAAGTGTTGTTGCACTGGCAACAACAAAAATTTGTTTGGAAAATAATAATAATAAAAAAGCTATAATTTAATATATTATTCATTATGGTTATATAATAAATTTATTAAAAGGTTTGAAAAATTTACAAAATTTTACATAATTGCTGTGAAGTGCACATGTATTAATTGAGGGTTTGTCAAATTTACTCATAGTTTAACAATTAAAATAACTGGTGGTTTTAAACATGTATTTTTCTTGAAATATCAGTTGTCAATTATATTCAATTGTCAATATTGTCATTATTTTATGTCAATTATATTGTCAATTATACAGTTGTCAAAATAGTAGTTAAAAAAAATATATATATATATTTGAATGAGTTCTGATTTGAATTTAATTTGAATAAAATTTGAATCTTATTTGAAATTGATTTGAATCTGATTTGAATTGAAAAATTTGATTTGAATTGAAATCTGATTTGAAACTAAATTGAAATCTGATTGAAATCTGATTTGAATTGGAAAATTTGAATCTGATTTGAATTTGATTTGAAAAAAATTTAAAAGAATTTTAAATTGCAGAGTTAAGGTGTAGCAAAGTGCATTTCTATCCTTGCAGAACTTCATGACTCTGTTATAAAGCTTCTTCAATTACTTAATGTCTCTTATAATGTTTCTTACTCAAGCGTTAAATATCCTGCAGTTAGGTACATAGCATGAAAATTTTAAATTAATTAAACATTAGATTGTTATATATCATTTTAAAGAGCTTCAATACAGTATTCTAAAAGTGAATATATATATAAAATATATCAAAATCGAGCAATTTGACGAAAAGTTATAACGTTTTATGTACCGATTTTTTGATATATGGATTTGTTGAAGAAACTGTGGTCAAAATAATATTTTTCTTGACTAAAAACAACATAAATTTGTAAATTCTTATCTAAATGTCTATAACTTGGTATCAAAAGATAGGTATTAGAATAGGCTACAAATTTTTATTGGTTGCTAGCCATAGGGCGTATCGGGGGGCTAGAGGGGGCACCAAACCAACAGCTTACCCGGTAATAAATGCAAATTTTTATAAACAAAAAAGTAATTTTTTGTGGAAATTTTTAATTTTCATATGCAAGAAGTAGTTATAATTTGCTTTAGACCATTGCCAAGTAAGAGAAGTTTATTTTTGTGTTATGGTGGGTGTAAGGGTGTCAGTTTAACACACCCTATAACTAAAAAAACATTTTTAACTTTATTAAAAAAAAGTAAATCTAATTATAATTACAAAATTTTTTAAAATAATAACAAAAATTTCTCGTCTTTACACTAGTAGCGCACATTTAGAATCAAGGGAAGGGTGTGTGCCACAACGCCTTCCAACCTAAATTAAGAATTACATTTTTATAATGCGATTTAGAAAAATTTAAATGCTATTATATAAAATAATAAAAATTATTATAAAAACATATTTTACTACATTACAAGATGCATCATTTTACCACATTATAAGATGTTGCCATTCTTTTTGTAAATCAGCGTTCGAATACCTCCCTTCCACCTAAAATAGATATTTAAAAATAAAAATACTTTCAACAATAAAAATAATTTCAACAATAAAAATAATTTCAACAATAAAAATAATTTTAACAATAAAAATAATTTCAACAATAAAAATAATTTCAACAAATACTAACTTGCGTCTTGGCTTTTAGTGAATGATTAAAATTTTAAGTTTCATCAATGAAACTAAATAATAATCATTTTTAACAATAGACACGATGTGAACGTAAGCCAGAGCCGTCTATCAAAAAAATTGCAAATCACACCATTTACAGTACCTTTTCTGTAAGTCACACGACTTGTGGTACCTATTTTGCAAGTCACACCACTTGCATTACCATATTTGCAAGTCACACCACCTGCGGTATTTTTTTTGCAAGTCACACCACTTGCAGTTTCCTTTCGGCAAGTCACACCACTTGCCATTACTATTTTGCAAGTCACACCACTTGCGGTATATTATTGCAAGCCACACCACTTGCGGTACTTTATCACATTATTGCTGTATCTGTTTTTCATCATCATAGTTACCTAGTATTGAAAATAAAAATTATATTTTACTACTTTATAACATACACCAGGCTTGGTCGGGAAGCGGGAGCGGTCGCTCTCGAATAGTGACCGAAAATTATATTTAGTTGCAAAAAACTGGCCAGGTTTTTTAGTCGATTTGAGAACATTTAAGTTTATGTATGAAACAAAAAAATTTTGTTTAACGGACATACATGGAAACATAAAAAACTTTAATGTTCTTAAAACTTCTTGGTACGAAAAAGTTAAAAGAATAATCGCGAACACTAAAAACTTGCCAAATTAACGAACAAACTAATTCTATTGGTTCAAAAAATATGCTGACTAAGCAAAATAAAGTTTTAGACTATTCTGGTCAAATGTTTTAGAAATTGTGTTATTCACGATTTGTTACGTTTTGAGTTTTTTAGCAAAAATTGTTTTAAGTATATATATTATTTGTTTACAAAAATAAATGTTTTATATATTAATTAAATTGTCAAAGTTTTAAAAGTTTATTATGAATTATAGATTTTATTAGTATTTTCTTATTTTTATTTAAAAAGTGTGTATTCTTTATGTAAATGTAATTTTGTGTATCTGTTTTTTATCGTAATGTATCTTTTAAAGCAATTTTTATGATTTAAACAAAGTCTTAAACAAAAATAATTGCGTTTTTAATGAAGTTATAATCATTAAAGTTAATAAAACGAATTATGTAACAAACATAAGGAGTTTCTGGTTACTAAACACAAACAACGCATACAAAGTAACTCCCGGATAAACAAGCACCGCGCCTGAGGTCACGACAGAACACAAATATATATAGCAAATAACTAGATATAAAGAAACGTTTCTAGATATTGGTTTACTAACTCTAATTATTTTCACTTAAGTTGCCATTCTTAAAACTCGTTATCCTTTTTTCTGCTTTAAATACTAATTAAAATTAAAAAGCCCACTCACTAAACATCATCAGCGATATTGTGAAGCAGTTTCGCTTCCTCATCATTAAGTATTTTTAACCTTTTTAGTTGATTTCTATCTTGTTAATTCAATTTCTATAGTAATTCAATGATTTATTTATTTCATTTGTTTATCTTACTAAGAAGAATTGCTTCAAATATGTTAAACTTTTTAAACTACGCAAAACATAAAATAGGTATCAAAAAAATAAACTTTTTTTATTTATAAAATAATTTAGTTTAGATAAAACTAAAACATGCAAACTTTGTTAAATAAAGAATATTTGTTTCCTTTTTAAAGAATCGTAAGATGTTACTTTATATAAAAAACATCGCTAAATTTTATGAAAAAAATTATAAAAGAGCGATGTTTCGAAAATATTTGTTTATAACGTAATTTATTTAGCCTTAAGTTTTTATGCGTTTAAAGATATTTTATTTGCCTAATTTTTTTTTTGTAATTGTTTCTCATCGGTCCAATTAATCTTTGCGCATTTTTTTTTGTTTTTTAAAAAGTTCTCAAAACAACTAAAAAGTCTGGCCAGCTTTTCGCAACTAAATATTATTTACGTGGTCAGCAATCGAGAGCAATCACTACCGCTTCCCGACCAAGCCTGATACACTAGTGGCCTACATTTCAAATCAGTGAAAAAATTTGGATCACCCCCACCCCCTCTCTCACTTGTAATCCAAAATAACATAAAAAAGTTTCAAAACAAATGAAAAAAATTGCAATTATGAAAAGAAAAAAAAAAGCTATTTAAAACAACAAAAACAGTTTTAAAAAAATATTTCACCACATTAGATGCAACAAAGTATTCATTATTTCTATACTCTATTGCCAGTCACACCACATGCAATACTACTTTTTCTATTAGACAGTAACATTAAAGCACAATAACATTAACTAACATTAAAGCATATTGAATTAAGAAAATATCAACTCTCCTGATACAATATCAGCAGCAAGTTGGAATTTTTTCATGCAATGGTCAACAGCTTCTAAATCAGTTTCATCTTTTTTCCAATAGGAAATAGTATAAATTCTGTCTTCTTTTCTTTTATTGACTTTTTCTACTATCCCATCATAAATGACAGACTTGCTAATATCTGAATCAAACCATTCATGACAGAGTTCTCTTCCAACAATTCTTTCATACATTAAATCATATAAGTCATCAAGTTGCTTAGTAGGCAAGTGCTCATATAAATTCTTTATTTCATTAAAAGATAGCAAACTCAGCTCTCGTTCCAACTTCCTTTTTTCTTTTTCATCCATTTTTTGCCTTTTGCATGTCTGTCTTTTTGAAATCTCTGCTCTTAATGCAGTATAATTCAGTCGATTTGTTTTTCTTTTTATACAAGCTGCTTTAATAGACCACTTAACTACATTTTCTCTCTCTATTTGGTCAAGACTATCAAGATAATCCATAGTCATATTCTTTTTAGATCGCAATTTGCAAGATATATAACAAATAGTTGCATTAGGGGATCTCCCTTTAGCTTCACTAAACATACCCATCAACTCTTCACTATCTATGTTGTGAAGCCTTGCACTAGCTGTCTCCTCCATAAATTTAGATGTAATAGAAATGGAAAAGTATCTTTCATATTGTCGAATCAAGACATCCTCCACTGCCTTAAGACAGGCAAAACTCATCTTGATAAGCTAATCATCAATAGCGCATAGAGTTGTAATTGTTTCTAAAATCTTTGGGGGAAGCTTTTTCTCAAAAAAATTAGTTGTTTTGTTAAACAATTCAGGTGGATTGGATCGCTTATTGTTTCCAAATCTAATTTCCAATCGCTTATTGTTTCCAAAACATCTTTAACTACCTGGATACCAATGACATGATCAAAGTTTGCATCTTCAGCTGATACATTAAAATTAGTCATCCATGGCCCAGTGAGAAGTTTTCCAAATAAACCAAGAACACACATTTGTTTTATAGCAGTTGTGTTACAAAATGCTGCACGCAGAACTGTTTGTAAAGTACCACATTTTACTGTTCCAGAGGTCAAAAAACATAGAAAATCATTATAGTGTTTAATAAAAATATAACAAGTATGGAAAAGAATGTGGATACGGTTTCCTCTATATCTTGGAATGATACCCCTATCCTTTTAGATCGCCTTTGACATCTTTAAACCTTATTTTGTTCATAGCCAAAACAATTTTAACTGCCATACAATCATATCCAAATAAATCACAATATTTATTTTCTAGAGACTTTAATGATAATCGACATTCAGTAGCAACTGTGTCAAGAGGGTGCAAATGGCAATTTAGTTCATTTAGAGTTTTTCCTCATTTGTCACAAAGTTTGCTTATAGTAAGGTGGTTGGCTGCAACTCTGTCTGACATTGTGTTTGATATATTTGAAATAATCAAACTTCGACAATCATCAAAGGAGAGCATATGAAAATTGGAATAAATTGAAGCCATATTATCCACTGCGTTACCTATATATTTTTCATAATCATCAGACGTCCCTCCAGGCAATTGGTGGACCTGACATTTACTTTTTGACGTTAAGTGGACACTATTAATATGAACACCTTGGTGGCGTCAAACCAGGGTTGGCAAAAAAACCCAACCCAAAAAAACCCAAAAAAACCCACCTTAAAAAAACCCAATAAAACCCAAAAAAACCCAAAATATATTTAGGTTTTTTTAAAAATGTCCTATTTTACAACTAATAACTCTGATTTTAACACTTATAAATGCTTTATAATCAGCAAATGCAACTTTTATGCTGTAATTACTCTTGTAAACACTGTATTTATATACATAATGGAAACCATATATACAATCGATTGCTAAATTAGCTTTTGCTAAGGTTGCTTCTCTTTATCGTGCTCGCCATTTCCTTACTTCTGATTCCATTCTCTACCTCTACAAATCTCTTATTCGTCCCTGTATGGAATACTGTTGTCATATTTGGGCTGGTTCTTCTAACGATTCACTTTCTCTTCTTGACAAGGTCCAAAAACGCATTTATAATGTTGTTGGACCTGGACTATCTGCTAAGCTTGAACCTCTTTCCCATCGTCGTAAAGTTGCATCTCTTTCTCTTTTCTACAGATACTATCATGGTCACTGCTCAAAGGAGTTATCATCTCTAGTTCCATCAACTAAAATTCATTCTCGTTTTACTCGTCATTCAGCTAAGTCTCATTCGTTTACTGTATCTGTCCCTGCATGCTCTAAAAACTTTTATTCATCTAGTTTTTTTCCCCGCACTTCAATCCTTTGGAACTCTCTCCCATCTTCATGTTTTCCTGACTCATACAACCTTCAACTTTTCAAGTCTTCTGTCAACCGTTTCCTTGCTCTATAACTCTGTTCTTTTTTTTTCCTAGTAACTCCCAACTTAATAGTGGTTGCTTGCAGCCTTGTTGGGAGTGAATGCAAATTAAAAAAAAAAAAAAAATTTAGAATATATCCAAAACCGATCAATCTGTTTTTGTAGCAAGTTGAATGTCTATTATTTTTTTAAAATACATAGCAAGTTGTTATAAATGTTATTCAAATATGTATTAAAACATTAAATTAGTTAAATACGTATAAAGGAAATAAAAATCATTTTATTAACTAAATTTCAAGACATTACTAGTTAATTAGTTTCTTTATTCTCCTCTCGAATGTCTATATTTCCAAACAAGCATTTTATATATGTCATTTTATGTTGGTATTTGATCTTTTATTTTTTAAAGCTTATGTTACTAACTGCAAATTTCAGTACAAAGCCACAAGCATAATGCTATATATAAAAATTATTAAACTATTTACAGTTTAGAAATGGAAAGTTGTCAGGCAAAAAAAAAATCCTACAATTTACTTGACTTATCTATATTAAGTACATATAACTTTAAAACATAAAAAAAGTTAAGTTATGTGCAAGTTTGCAACATATTTGCTCATTCAATGAGAGAACATGTTGAAAACTTGTTTGCATTTCACAAGGGCAAAGATTAGTTGATAAAAATGATACTCGTGCTCATCTGTC